CAGCTTCAGTAGATGAAAGAGAAACACACTTCTGAAGCTTGGACATCCAACTCACTGCTGTTCCACCTATGGTGTAAATGTACCCAGATGTACTCTTGCTCGAGTCCACATCTCCACCAAGGTCAGCATCCACAAAACCCTGTAGAATCACTTCACCTTTGCCAAAACAAAGTGAAGTGCTGGATGTACCTCTCAGATATCTCAGAAGCCACTTCACAGCTTCCCAATGCTCTTTCCCAGGGTTAGCCATGTACCTGCTAACAACTCCCACTGCATATGCTATGTCAGGTCTAGTGCAGACCATAGCATACATTAAACTCCCAACCGCCGAAGCATATGGAACACGTGTCATGTGCTCTCGCTCCTCAGCCGTCTTGGGTGACTGCTCCTTTGACAATTTCATGTGATTTGCCAACGGAGTAGTCCTGGGTTTAGCATCATTAACCCTGAATCTAGTCATCACCTTCTCAATGTACTGCTCCTGAGATAGAATTATAGTGCCAGCAGATCTATCCCGAGAAATCCTCATCCCCAAAATCTGCTTTGCCGCACCCAAATCCTTCATCTCAAATGCTGAAGACAGCTTTGCCTTCAGACTGTTAATCTCCCTCATACATGATCCTGCAATCAACATATCATCCACATACAAGAGTAGAAAGACATAAGAATCAGTGTATTTCTTGAAGTAACAACACTGATCCTTTTCAGCCTTGCAGAAACCACTCTTGATCATGAAGGAGTCAAACTTGTTATACCACAACCTTGGTGCTTGCTTTAGTCCATACAAACTCCTGTTGAGTTTGCATACCATGTGTTCCTTGCCCGGAACAACAAATCCTTCTGGTTGTTGCATATAGATCACCTTATCCAGATCTCCATGTAAAAACGCTGTTTTCACATCCATTTGCTCTAAATGCAAATTCTCCGATGCAACAATACTCAACAGAATTCGGATAGAGGTTAACTTCACAACAGGAGAAAATATTTCAGCATAATCAATACCTTTCCTTTGTGAATAACCTTTAACCACTAACCGAGCCTTGAACCTCTTCTTCCCATCTAGTTCAGTCTTGATCCTGAACACCCACTTACTAAACAAAGCTCTCTTCCCTGCGGGTAACTCGGTCAACACCCAAGTGTTGTTCCTCTCAAGGGAGCTCATCTCATCATCCATGGCTTGCTCCCACTTGACTGAATCCTCCACATGTATGGCCTCATCAAAGGACTCTGGTTCTCCTTCATCAGTTAGCAACAGATAGTGTAATGAAGGTGAATACCTATCTGGTACCCTGCTAATCCTGGATGATCTCCTCAACACTTGCTCAGGTGTCACTTGCTCCACCTCAGGTTCTTCATCAATAGTGTCTGGAGTTGGTTGAGTTTCTGCTTCAACATTTATGGGGGTACTTTTCTCCAACTCAACCTCAACTCCCACTTGCTTCGTAGTCTCTGGAACCTTCTGCTCTCTGTCCTTGTACAGGACAGACTCATCAAATGTCACGTCACAATGTCTCAGGATCTTTCTGTTCTTATCATCCCAAAACCTGTAACCAAACAAATCAGAACCATAGCCTATGAAGTAACACTTCACAGCCTTGGCATCAAGCTTATCTCTCTTCTCTGGATCAACATGAACATATGCCGTGCAACCAAAAGTCCTCAAGTGTGAGTACTTGAGTTCTTTTCCGGTCCACACCTCCTCTGGAATCTTGAACCCCAAAGGAACTGATGGTCCCCTGTTGATCAAGTATGCAGCTGTGTTCACAGCATCAGCCCAAAATGTTTTGGGCAGCCCACAATGTATCCTCATACTTCTTGCACGCTCATTCAATGTTCTGTTCATCCTCTCAGCAACTCCATTTTGCCTTGCCTTACCAGGAACTGTTCTCATTAATCTGATTCCCTCAGCTGCACAGAATGCCTTGAATTCTGACTTGTCATACTCTCCTCCATTATCAGACCTCAAGCACTTGATTTTCAGGCCAGTCTGATTCTCCACCTCAGCTTTCCACTTCTTGAAAGTTGCAAACACATCGGACTTATGTTTCAAGAAGTAAACCCATACCTTCCTGCTGAAATCATCAATGAAGGTGACATAAAATCTTGATCTTCCAAGTGATGCGACTGGAGATGGTCCCCAAACATCAGTATGGACCATCTCCAACCGTACTTTCTTCGGCTCTCTTGGCGTCTTCGTGAAGCTGACTCATTTCTGTTTGCCCATAACACAACTCTCACAAAGACCCATATCAACAGACGTCAAGCCCTCCAATGCTCCTTTTGCAGCCAGCATCTTCATTCCTTTAACACTCATATGTCCAAGTCTATCATGCCACAGACTTGAACTGGAAACAACATCAGCATCAGCAGCCATGTTAATACACCCTGCAGTGGTGTACAAAGTTCCAAATTTTGTGCCTCGTGCTACAACCATAGCACCTTTCACAATCTTCCAAGAACTTTTCCCAAACTGTGCTGCATAGCCCGTGTTATCCAACTGACCAATAGAGATCAGATTCTTCTTGAGACCAGGAATATATCTCACATCTTTCAATGTCCATTGATTTCCCGTTGGTGTTTTTATGGAGACATCCCCTTTCCCTTCAATCACCAAGGCCTTGTTATCAGCAAGATACACCTTTCCAAAATTTCCAAATTTGAAATTTTGGAACAACTCCTTGCTTGGTGACGAATGGAAGGATGCACCAGAATCCAAAATCCAGGATTCAACTGGGCTGTCCACACTGAGGATTAGAGCATCCCCAATATCCTCTGCTGAATTTACAGAATCACCGTCATCTCCAGATTTCTGATTCTGCTTCTTCTTTGGCTTCTTACAATCCGCCTTAAAGTGCCCTTTGTCTCCACAATTCCAACAAGTTATATTGGATCTATTCGGAGACTTGCCTCGATTCTTTGATTTTGATCGGCCATGTTGATGTTGGCCCTTGAACTTGCTTCTACCCTTTCGGTCAACGCTGAGAGCACTACCCGATGAATCACCCATTTCTCTCTTGCGAATACTTTCGCTAAGAACAACATCACGGATTTCATCGAACCTCAGCTTCTCAGACCCACGAGAACTACTAATTGCAGCAACAACAGTATCCCAAGACTCGGGCATAGATGACAGCAAAATCAACGCCTTAATTTCATCCTCAAAATT